GAAATTGTGCTTTTAACCTTATAATTTGAGCCAACAACCTCGCAAAAGCCATATTGCGAGTTGATAATAAGCACACATGAGACCATCTTGTAGATGTATCTATCAAGACCGTATAATATTTAAATGGTCCACATGCAGGGTGAGTAGGTCCACATATATCACCCTGTATCCGTTCCAGAAATGCAGGAGATTCCACCCCAACCTTAGCCACTAATGGTTTGATAACCAATTTTTCTTGTGAATAAGCAGCACAAGAGAATTTCTTTGATTGAAGAACATTTTGGTTCTTCAAAGTATGCCCATGTGAATTCTCAATTATTCTGCGCATTATATTATAACCGGGATGGCCCAACTGGTCATGCCAAATAATAAAATCATTAGAACCAGTAAACCTTTTGTTTACTACGACATGTGATTCAACCGTACCAATATTTGTATGGTACAACCCAGAAGAAAGTGCAGGTAATTTTTCATGCACAGTTTTCTTCTCCGCATTTATTGTAGTAATATAAAGGTATTCAACCTTTCCTTCATTCGCAGTCTCAACATGATAGTCATTTTGGCGAATAACCTTGAAACTTAACAAGTTTCTATGAGACTTACTACAATACAATGTCAATAATGTTCCTCCAGGTAGTAATAAGGCCGCTCTTTCAGAGCCCTCAATCAATTTTGTACTACCAGATATTGTATTAACATATGCCTTTTTCATTATTAAATGAGAGAAATATTTTTTTCTCTTACTATCGTATGAGTTGTGGCACTGTCCAGAAGACACATATCTCCATTACTCATCTTGGATCCAACTGAAGACTGGAAAAATTTATTTATCTTCATAAAAATAAAAATACATAATAAGAAGTACGAAACTTAACAAAAGAAAATTTAAGTACATGAACTTTAAGTAAGACATTAAAAACACATAATATTATTCATTTCCCAGTTCAATTATCAATCTTCAATTGTGATCCCCAAAGAAGTCCTCAGTTTCTAGATGAGTAATATCATCGAGCCCTTCAAAAGCATTATCTTTCAATGCTAAATTCGCCTCAACATTCTCATCATATTTTTGAGAAGACCCTGCTTGAGCATCATCTTTGATAGTCAAATGTGACTCCACTCGGGGATTAGAAGAGAAGGCACCACCTTTATTCCCTTTCCTTTTAAAGGAATTTTGATACAGCCTGACAAAATGCTCAGGTGCCCGACATTTATTTTTCCAGTGACATCTAAGGCCACAACGATGACAGTGATCGCCCTTGCCTTTTGAAGGATTATTTTGAGAACCTATATTGTTCTCCCTTTTGTTATGACCACCACCTTGACGATTATTATATCGTCTTTTGCCTTTGCCACGTCCACGCACATTATTATGGCCTCGATTATTTTGTCTTATTTCAGACTGGCCATGTGCTTCTACCCCGTGGGCCTCCGGTAATAGAGCACTTCCAGTGGGACGACTTCATGATTTTTCATTAAAAGGTCATTATGTTGCTCAGCCACCAGAAGACATAAGATTAATTCAGAGTATTTTTTAAAACCCTTTTCACGATATTGTTGTTGTAATATCATATTGGAGGCATGAAAAGTAGTTAGTGTCTTTTCCAACATGTCCTCATCTTTTATAACTTTCCCACATAATTTTAATTGGGAAGTGATTCCAAATACAACAGAGTTATACTCAATTACGATTTTATAATCTTGAAACCGTAAGTGCATCCACTCATAACGAGCCCTTGGCAATACAATTGTCTTGAGGTGGTCATACCTCCCTTTCAAACCTATCCACAATTCAAGTGGATCTTTCATTGTTAAGTATTCAACCTTCAGACTTTCATCAAGATGATGACGAAGGAAAATCATAGCTTTCGCTTTATCCTGACTTGATGCCTTATTTCCTTTGATTATACAATCACCAAGACCCTTAGCGGTAAGGCGAATTTCAGCATCAAGTACCCATGCCAAATAGTTCTTTCCAGAAATGTCAAGTGCCACAAATTCAAGCTTTGACAAATTCGACATGATGAAAACTATCATAAAATAATTGAGTTAATATTATGATGTTGGTTTCTTTATAATAAATGATAAATTAATGTTCAAATGATAAAGTTAATATGATTATAAATATATTATATGTTATATGCATGAACATTGAATGTCTCAAAAACATATAAACTAATGACGTATTGAAACAATAGATTTAATATGTAATTTTAATTGTTCTACAATATTTATTATTAGTTTCAATAGATATTAACGCCAAATTTTTGTAAGAGTTTAAAGTCATATTTAATACAATAACATTCTTCTTTATGACACACCAATATACTTATCATAATATATGAAAATACTTACGAGTTATTTTAACTAGCATGCTATCATATTACTTAGTAATTAATTTAGAGTTATAAGTTAGTAGCATATAAATAACATAACAATATAAACTTGGAACGTATTGATTATTATGCCTAGTAAAGTATCATAATAATAGCTAAATCAAGTTATTTATGCAGTAATTAAATTATCGATCAAAGATTTATGCAAGTCCTATTAGAGATGTTATAAACACATAAATGTATACCTGACTCTAAAAGAAAGTTGATTAACTTTAGAAATTAATTTCGAATTAAGTAGGTCTCAGTTGGTTAGAGACTCGTGCTGATAACGTGTTGTAAAACAAGAGGAAAATGCAAGAATACTTGAACAAGAAAGTAAGGCAAAGTGTGATGGAAAGTATAAAATTGAGAGCCTTATTTTAATCTCTTCAATTGTGTATTTCTTAAGGGTGAAGAAGACCCTTTTATAAGAGGTAGAAATCATCCGTTTACTACCTTAACCAAAATATGTTAGTAATCTTTAATTCTTACATTAGATTAATACATGCATTACGTCAGGTTGATGAAAAGAAACATCCATATTAAATGGATTTGTAACAATATTTGATTTCTTTGTTGTACATTATTATCCAAATCATTTATAAGATTATGAATTATAAACTTTAAATACTAATATCTCCTTATCCAATTGATTTTATTGAAAAAAAATCAACTGCTAACAATATTCTTTTTGATACATGCATCAATCAATCTTATATAACGCAAGAAATTATATAGTGTTATGAAATTTGACATGACAAAAGCATACGATAGAATGGATTGAGAGTATCTATAAATATATTTAAGAAAAATAGGATTTTTTGAAATATAAGTAAATAAAGTAAACAGAATCATTATCGATATGTGATATTTTATTTTTTTAAATGGTTAAGAGCTTCTTCAAATCTACCAAAAGCATCAAATATGGTGATCATTTGTTCCCTTCTTTGTTGGTGTTGAGTTCTTGTCAAGATTGATCAACAATATGTTAGATGAGAACTTTGTTAATATTAGAGGCCTATTTAGAGTGCAACAATATAATATTGCTCACTTCTAATTGCCAACTATAGAAATAATACAAAATAAAGATAATAAGAGATAGAGAAATAGCTAAAATATTTTTAGGGGAGCAAGCGATTTTATTTCTCTTTAAATTGATGCAAGATTGAAATGTCTTCTTATTTATAAATGAAATATAAGTTGTTTTGTAAGCTACTTGCAAGCTGTTTGCAAGCTGCTTGCTTGATTTTATCTTATTACAAACTTATCCAATAATAAATCTATTAAATTAATTGTGTGTTTAAATAAGTATCCACATTTATAACATCTCCCTTTTTTGTTGCTATCCCTCTCCCCATTTTTAGTTGTTGTTTCTCACATTTTAGATGGCTTCAATGTGAGGTGCAGTTTGTTTTAAGCATAATTTATTTATATCTCTATTTCATAGTCATAGTTAATATTACTGTAAAGTAATTTATAATATTTTCGTTAACTTGTATTTTAAGGTATTAATTTTTTTCCCTTTAATCAATTAGAGAAGGTCAATTAGAAAAATTCAATGAAGAGATAAATTACTTATCCAATAATGTCTAAGAAATAAATTACTTATTAATAATTTAATCCTAAAATTCTCTTGATATTTATTAAATTGATAACTTCATTTAATATTTTAGTTTTAACTTTCAAATTTGACATTATATTATAACAAAGTTAATTTATACCAAATAATTACTTTCTAGCCCTCTCTCCCACCCAATCTCCCCTCTTACCTAGAAATTAAAATGGTTCAATTGCACTTCTATTATTTTTCTTAAAGAATCATTAGAATACATTAATATTAATTAACAGATAAAAAGTCACAATACCCATGCTATTAAAGGGGGTGAATAAATAATAAAATCTTTTTAAAAAGTAAGATTTTGGAGTTTTTCTTTGAATATGTTAGTTTTATATACATAATATGTGACGATCAATATTTTTAATCAAGAATTTCAGATTCAAGCTTTTGAAAAATGAAAAAAATCATGTTGGAAGTGTTACTTTTAAAAAACTAAACCTTAGAGCGAATCTAAATTTAATCGCGTATAACTACAAATATTGAACAACAGATGAAAAAAATTGTGCTAAGCAGAAGTTAGTCAAATAATCCAATGTTACAATATGAGTTTAGTCAATTCAAGAATTTTCCACAAATTACAAGTGTTAGCTACCTCAAGTCACTCTTTTTTTAGTCCAAATTATGACCTCTTTAGACTTTTTATCAAGATTACAAGATTCCCCAATTTAGCAACCAAAAGATTATATTTTATTAAAAAAAGTGAGGTAACTATAATTTTCTTCAGGTGTTTTAGGAGAAAAAATTAAAATAAATCAACTACTTTACCAAATAAATATACTAAATTATTAGTCTTAATCCAAAACGCTCCCTAACCACTAAATGTTAGCAAAAAATCTTGTTAATATATATAACTGTAAAATCTAGTGAATATATTCCAGTGGGAAATTGTGTCCTTTTCACCCCCAAAGAAAAGAAAATTATTGATATGGTCCCCAAAGTTTTATGGATAGAAATTTTCTAATCCAAATTTCCCTATTTCCTCTCTCTCTCTCTCTCTTATACAAAACTTGAACGTACAGTAGTAGAGATATTCCATCTTCTTTACCTTTTTCTCTTGTTGGGTGTTTCCAAGATCTGATTTTTACTCAATTTCTCTCTCTAAAAATTGTATCTTTAGCATAGTTATTAACAGTTTTCAATCTTAACATTGTTGTATGTGCATTTCTAAATCATTGACAACTGTTGTTTGTTTGTTGAGCTTTTTCTATTTAGTGGAGTACTTTTATTTACAGCTATATCCCAATTTTGTTGTCATATAGTGCCACCCACAAACTCTTTTTTTACTCATATTGGATCTTGAAAGCTGTACAAGGTTTTCCCATTCTTTACCCTTTCTGCCTGTTCCTGAGATTTGGGGTTGTTTTTGGGGTTTGAACTGTAAGATTGTTGGTGGGTGTTGTTTGAATCTGATCATTTGTGTGGTTACTTTTGGGTTCTAGGTATAGTTTTTGATCTATAGGGTGGAAGTCAACTTGGTTGAGTTACTTTTTTTGGATAAGATTCTTGACCTTTTTGCTTATTGCTAGCTGTTGTTTGTGGTTTTGATGCTTGCCACCTGAAGTATGCAGCCTGATCAGCGAAAAAAAGTAAGGGTCTTTTCAAATTTGTCAGCTTGGATACTAGTTGAAGCTATAAGTAGTATGGTAGAATCAGTTACAGTACTAACCTAGTTGTTACAACCATTTAGATTTGTTGTTCCTTTACTCAGTAGTAATGGTTTTTGATTGTGGGTTATTATTAGCTTTAGAAAATTGACTTAATAACGCGATCGTCTGATTGAGAACCAATTTAAATTTGGGCAATCAGTTATCTGGTAAGGTATGCGTATACTCTACCCTCCCAAGACCCCCCCCTTGTGGGATCCCACTATGTATGTTGTTGTTGTAGTTATCTGGCTTAGGACAATTGGTTGGAGGATTGATATGTTGAGAGTTGTATAATTTAGGAACCTAGTTAAGCGGTGACTGGATCTTCTTTTCAGGCTTTGATATGTGGTGAGGTTTAAGGCTAATTGACATATTAGACCTAATAAATGTTGTACTGTGGTATTGTGCAAGTTTAATTCTATGATCCAATTCTATTGATAAACAGTTGTGGGGTGAATCAAATATTTCGACTTATACAGTTTTGATAAAAAAGAAATCAGTGAATTCCTCATAGCTTGTGCAGGTTGGAATAGCATAGCTGCACACTTAAAAACATTCCTATTAAGATATCACGTGTGTAACAATTTAATTATAGTAATAAGATCCATTTTTGACAAATCTTATAACCCATCTTATGAATTATAATATGAATATGCAGGGGTCTGGAGATGTAGATTTCTTTACTGAATATGGTGAAGGGAGCCGATACAAGATAGAGGAAGTTATTGGCAAAGGTAGCTATGGTGTAGTATGCTCTGCGTATGATACCCATCTAGGGGAAAAAGTTGCAATCAAGAAGATAAATGACATCTTTGAACATGTCTCTGACGCCACACGTATCCTTCGTGAGATCAAGCTTCTTAGGCTTCTTCGGCATCCAGATATAGTGGAAATCAAGCATATATTGTTACCTCCTTCTCGGAGGGAATTCAAGGACATCTATGTTGTCTTTGAACTCATGGAATCTGATTTGCATCAAGTCATTAAAGCAAATGATGATCTGACGCCGGAACATTATCAATTTTTCCTTTATCAGCTTCTTCGAGGGCTAAAATATATACACACAGGTTGTATGCTGGCTACAAGATTGTGCTTTAATTACTATGACTTTCTTCCACAAAGGCCATATTTATGTTTTTCCAATTCTAACAATGCTTCTATGTTGGAATATTATGCAGCCAATGTCTTTCACCGTGACCTGAAACCCAAAAATATATTAGCAAATGCTGACTGCAAGCTTAAGATCTGTGACTTTGGTCTTGCAAGAGTGGCCTTCAATGATACTCCTACAGCTATATTTTGGACTGTATGCTTCTTAATGCTCTGCATAAAACTTTTAACTTCGAAAATAATTCTATTAATGAGATTAGAGGAACATGTAACATCTAACATCACCTGTTATTTGTTCCTGTAGGATTATGTTGCCACAAGGTGGTATAGGGCTCCTGAATTGTGTGGATCATTTTTCTCTAAGGTGTGAATATACACTTTTCTGCTTTGGATAATTATTCTGATTTCTTGATGAATTAGCTATAATTTTCTTCATTTTATTATGATAACAGCACATTCTAAGATCAGTTTATTGTGATTTGTCCTCAGTATACACCAGCAATTGATATATGGAGCATTGGATGCATATTTGCAGAGCTATTGACTGGGAAGCCTCTCTTTCCGGGTAAAAATGTGGTTCACCAATTAGACTTGATGACCGATCTGTTGGGCACACCCTCCCCAGAATCCATTGCCAGGGTAAGTCCCTACTTTTAACCTGGAACTCAAGATGGTCTACTCTGATAGTTTTGTGGCTAATATATGGTTGCTATGTGCCTATAGATAAGAAATGAAAAGGCTCGGAGGTATTTGAGCAGTATGCGTAAGAAAAAGCCTGTACCTTTCTCCCATAAGTTTCCACATGCAGATCCCCTTGCACTTCGTTTGCTAGAAAGGATGCTTGCTTTTGATCCTAAGGATCGTCCTAACGCAGAAGAGGTACAAATACACTAGCTCTATCTGTTTCCACAAAGTTGTATTATTTGTGACTCCAGCTCCTAATTGGGCTTTTTTCCTTGTTCAAAATTCAGGCTCTCGCAGATCCATATTTCAGAAATCTAGCCAAAGTGGAAAGAGAACCTTCTGCTCAACCAGTTACAAAAATGGAGTTTGAATTTGAAAGGCGAAGGATAACAAAGGAGGATGTGAGGGAGCTGATATACAGAGAAATTCTTGAATACCACCCAAAAATGTTGAAGGAGTTCTTAGAGGGGCAAGAACCAACAAGTTTCATGTACCCAAGGTACATTTATCTCAAACTGAGTTTTTTTCTTGTCTTTGAACCTGTGTATTGCATGGTTTTCTCCGCATTCATACATCTTATTTGCATGTGCATGGCAATGTGTTCATAGCACATCTGTATAATATGTTTTAAGTTTCAGTGTGGCATCTTAGGTGGCATGGCCACAATTTCGTGTTTTTCCTTAGAAAGGTGGATAGAGTTGAAAAAGTTTCAATACTTCTACTTAAGCTCACGTCCTTCACATGAAGTCTTCTCTTTCTTTCTGCTATTTCCTTAGTTAATTATAGTGCTGAACTCTTCCATTTGGTATGAATGGGAACCTCCATGTTTTTCCTTTGATTAAAAGTTAATTAATCAATGTAGTTCTGGGGTAAACTGCTTTACCAGTATTGTGAATCAGGGCAGACTTCTTGTTCGTTTCTCCTCCTTGGGGTAGTTCAGAGTTCAAAGGAACTCTTAACTTCATTTCCATGTTAGTCAAACTTTTGAGAACTCTTTTAATGTAGGATTAATGGGAGTGATTCTGGCCTTGTTTTCTTTGACATGTTAATGGGTAAATTTAGATTTCTTGTACTCTAGGAAGGTCTTGGAATGAAACCAACCCCGTTCGATATGACGGTATGCTTATTATTTTATATTGAAGGTAGCCATCTGTATCTATAAACTTCCCATACTTGGATGTGGTAGTATCTTGGTCAACCCTCATTTTGCCAATCACATGAATTATGATTCATCTGCCTGATAAAGAAAATAGCATGGTTCATCTGACATTGCTTGAGAAAGATGTAGCCAACTTTAGAAGCTTACAAATGGAGGGGAAATATGGCACTTTGACTTAAATTTTCTTATTATCTCAAGAAGTTAAACTTGATACTATCATAGGTATGCCCAAGAATGACTGCTGTACAGTGTACTTGGTTCTCTCCTTGATCAGTCATGTCGAGCTTATTATTAAAAATATGTTCTATTATCAAGCCTCATTCAGACTGCTTTTAACCCACTAGAGAACCTTCCTCTAAGAGAAAACTATCATTTCTGGCTTAATTGTGTATGCATGCTTAGCTAGCCGCATTACAAAATCTATGGAGCGAGGCAATGGGTGAATGAGAAACTTTGGTGGCAACCATAATATTCTGCTATGCTACATATCAGCGATCACTTGGTCTTATATCAATAAGCTCATTATTACTTATAAAAATCTAATTATAGAGTGCTATTTACTGTTGTTCCTTTTAAGAAACATAATTGGTTTCATCGCTTGACTGGAGCCAAAAAGGATTACTTATAGTTTCTTGTGTCACTCGCCAGTGCCGTTGACAAATTCAAGAAGCAGTTTGCATATCTTGAAGAGCATTATGGCAAAGGAGGCACTGCTGCTCCACCTGAGAGGCAGCACTCATCATCCCTGCCTAGGTTAGTCCCTGGCAGTCATGCTGGTTGATCAAATCCTTTCTCCTTTGACCATTTTTTATTCTTTTCCTAGTTTTTCTAACAAAAGGAATGCCCTGCAAGTTTTGGCTATCAGACATTTCTCAATTATTGCACAACTTTAGCCACTGATAAATTATAGATACAGGGCTTGTGTATTATATTCAGACAATTCAGTGCAAAATCCAGTTGAAGTTGCAAATGATCTTTCTAAGTGCTCTATCAAAGAAGATGAGAAACCACAAGCGGACCGGAGTTCAATGATCCCCATGACAAGGCTGCCTCTACAAGTTCCTCAGAATGTTCAAGGTTTGATTTCACTAGTTTATTAACACTTCTAGTAGGGTCCGACAGTTGATCTCTTTTCATATTTTAAATGCTGGAAGTATGTTTTCTGATAGGAGTACTAATGTTTCTGCTTTAATTGTTGCCATCAATATTCAAATGGTTTTATTTTTCTGAGAGTAGTATTCAGTCTCTCTTTTGATCGTCGCCAGCTATATTCAAATGAGTAGAATTCCCTTTTTGTATTGATGATGGTGTATGCACTCATGATTATTTTCTTCCATCTGCATTATGGGGTAAGACATATTGGGATGCTGCAGTTCCTTGCGAATTTGAATGAATTAGCATATGCAATGATTTGTTGGATATCTACATGTGTAAAACCTGGAAAAGACATGTTAAAATTTCTGTCTTGCCAAATTGTGAGCACAGAAGTAGTATTCCCCCGTCTCAGGCGACAAGTTTTCCTTTTGGAATGATCCAAAATGTTGGCTATACTAGTATTTATGAACCTTTCTCATGCTGTTTAACTGTGTACTTGTATATATTAATGTTTTCTCCTACTCCAAAAATGTACAATTGAATCACTTGGAGTAATCCAATTCGTTAGTTAACAATGTGTAATATTAGTAATTTCATGGTATTAACATTCTTTCAAGGACTATATTGTCTTAGATGTTGGAAATAGTTTTTATAGTGTTTGAAAAATATAACTTTGAAGTATTAGATGTTGCTGAAGTGTGAAGTGTTAGCACATTATATTTAGGAGGTTGTCAGATGTTTGGGGTGATTTAAGTGTAAGTTTCCTAGGCAAACTATTTAAAGACCTTTTGACTTCTGCCAACTCATCTTTTATTTGTAATTGAAAATAAAGTCAGAGATGGTGGTGTCCGCAGACATTTTTATCATGAAAGACTTAGTTATTGGTTTATACATTTGCTTCTAAGTTTCTAGTCGGTGCATTTGCATGAACACGAAATGTGAGTGTTAGTAGAGATTTCTAATCTGACAGCCTGATAATTAATGATTCGGGTGTGTTTGGTATGACGGAAAATGATTTCCTTGAAAATAGGTGTCTTTCTTATTTTCTAGTATTTGGTAAGTAAGCAAAGAAATATTATCCAAGAGCAATTATATGTTGTCTAGCAAAACGTTGTGGAGGTGGGTAGGAATGGGGGGTGGGGGTTCTAGGGTGACGGAAGTGGGATGGTCAAGGGGGGTGAGCAGTGGCGGAGCTAGGATTTTTAATAAGGGGGTTCAAAATTTGAAGAAGTAAACCACGAACTAATCGAAGGGGGTTCGACATCTACTAGTAGATACTTAAAAAATAATGTTAACCATGTATAAATAGTAATATTTTCCGCCGAAGGGGGTTCGGATAACCCCCTAACTCTATGCTAGCTCCGCCCCGGGGGTGAGGGTCGGGTGGGTGGGGAGGAGCAACAAACTTGAATGTCACTTATGCAACTTGTTCTCCCTACTTCCATTAGGGAAGTCATTTTCCTCATTTTTAGGAGCTTGTTTTCCAAACATTTTGATCAACCAAACATAGGAAAATTGGAAAACATTTTCCTCCATACCAAACACACCAAAGTGTTGGTAAGTTCTCTGACCTTCTCTTTTGTGATGAGGAAAAGAGAATTTTATGAAAAATTAGCAACAAGGAGGTGCAGAAACCGACTGCATCAGGATTTACAAAACGCATCAAGACACCTTGGGGGTGGGTTGGGGGGGGGGGAGAGAGAAAAAGAGAAATGTCTCTTAAATATGATTAATAGAATACAGTCATTAAAAAAGAAAAAATGTCTCTTAAATATAAGGAGTCCATGATTTTAACAAGTCTCCCATCACACTGCTCATACTTCTGTTTTTTTTTGAGGCATTCTTTCTTTTTTAAAGACCGTGTACTCTCTTCTTTATTTTTTTGGTTCTTCCTATTATTTTTTATCAGTAAATAAAGGAATTTTACTCAAATGATCAGCACTAAGTTGGTGATGTTTATGACTTTATGGACATCTAGAAAGCAAAAGTATAAACTAATAGAGAGTACAGTTTACAAAGCTCTGATATACTTGCATATTATACACCCCATAATGTACTGTTACTGTCTAAGTGAATCCGACTCCGTGTATTGTCACCTGTATCAGTGCACCACTCTATTTGTAGCTCATTCTGAATTAACTCTTTGAAGTGTCACTAAGGATGAGGTCAGTTGCAATGGTGAGAAATTCTATGTCAAGTCCTGTTCTTCTCTGGCTCATTATTATTATTCTTATTAATGAAAAACAGATATAGATAGAACTGATACATGATGGCCTAGTGTGCTCACTCCCTATTTGTATAGGAGAGATACATTGCTTAAGCGATACCAGGCTGCTTTAGAATGTAGTGCCATTACTATGTTATTAAGAGGAGAATTTGTCAGCAGGTGGTGCTGCAAGACCTGGGAGGGTGGTCAGCTCAGTGTTGCGCTACAACAACTGTGGAGCAGCAGCGACAGCAGCAGAAGTCATTGAACAGCGAAGAATTGTAAGGAACCCTGGTGGTCCGACTCAATATCCCATTTCCAATACTTCGTACCCTAGAAGACATCCCAGCTGTAAAAATGAAAGGGGTGAAGATAGTACTGAAGTTTCAAATGGGGTGCAGCCAAAACCTGAACAGTACATAGCAAGAAAAGTAGCTGCAGCACCAGGTGGACCTGGTAATCAATGGTATTAAATTTGGAATCTCCGATCAGCCATGTTACACTAAGCTTTCCATTTTCCCAAGGATGGTTCTCATAAAACACACCATATGCAAGCTAATTTGACTGTCAGCCATAGTTTTCTCACATAATGCCAAGTTCAGGATTGCTTGGTAATTGATGCGGGCACATGAACTTGAAGAATCCCAGTGTGATTTTGGTTGGTTGGTTCAGACATCTATGTACAACTCGTTACTTATATTTGTCCTCTGAAGTTTAAAAGGTTCGGCATGGATTCTCCTCCATGGGCAACTCTTGTTCTGTGATCTTGATAGAAATGGAAGCAAGTGATAAAGATGGATGTTGGTAGCTGATGACATGAACTACTACTGATATCAGTTTACCTCTACATGTTTGTTCTTTTCCCCTCTCCCTTCATTCTTTGCAGAAAAACTGTAGAGACGCTTTATACTTTTGTTAATGACTAAGACATTGATGATCTTAACGTGTAACCTATGACATTCTTTATTAAATAAGGACCTCTATGTTTCTGATGTTCCTGCACTCTGTAAAGCAGAAGAGGGACATGAAACTTTTGGTTGAAGCATCACCGATTCTCTGGAACATGGTTTTTCTTGTGAATCCCTCTTTTCGAGCCATTGTTAAGTTGGATCAATGCAACACTAGATACATGTTGCGATGTGGATCCGTCTTTTTTAGTTAACAAGAACTTTTGAATTTATGTTGTATTGGCTGATTTGAATCGTATCCAGAAGTGCAAGTGAAATACGGACTAAAATAAGAGTAAAACACAATAAATGCTTGTAAATCAGTAGTAGTAGAAGCAGTAACATTGAGTATCAGACCCTTCAAGCATAACATACATCACCATTTACAAAATCTCAACTCCATTATTTCAGTCATGATCTGATAAACTTCACATTTACAATATTGACATGAAAGTCCACCCTTCTCTTGGCTTCCTTTTGCTCATCATCATCATCATCAGTACTATACTCTATCTTCGTCATCTTCTTCTTCAGAATCAAGTTATCGTTTGATTTTCCTTTCTTGTATCCATTATCATCTTCAATATTGCAAAACTTTTTAGTAAGATTCATATCTATCTACACACTTTTTCAATCTTCAGTGAAATAATGGCCAAACATTCCCAGAAAATTACAACAATTTTAGCAAGGTGAGGGCTACCAAATGCTGAACCAACAGCCATCTAATATTTTATCCAAAAAAAAAAAAAAAAGCCTTTGGAAGTAAATATCCCACACTGGAGAATGAAGAGAGTTGTGGGGTTGGTAGCTTGAATAAATAATGTAACTGTGGGCTTTGAAAAAACATGATCCTTCAGGCAAGTTTTAATGGGATGTGATGAGTGGTCATTACTCGCAATAAAATATGCGAGAAGAGCGTTCCAGCCCAGCCTGGTTACGACAATTTGGGCGCTCTCATTTTTACCAATCTGATCCCTCTGCTTGAATCCCCCCCCAACCCCCCAAACTGTTTTGTTTTTGTATTCTTTTTTTCTTCTGTATTTTTTTATTTTTTTAAATTTTACTTTCTCTTATTATTTCCATAATAATCTTCTCCAATACTATTACTTTTACTTGTTACCTCTGTTCACTTTTACTTATTATTTTTTAAATAGATTTTTATTATATTAAGAAAAGATATTAATCTTTTTTCATGTTTTATCCTTAATATTAAATACTTAATTTGAAAAGTAAGTATTTAATGTTGAGCCTCGAGTGTAATACATGGAAAAAGTTTATTGTCTTTTGTTAATACGTCAAAAGTGACGACTAAAAATGAAAATCTATTTTTGAAATAAGTGACAAGTAAAAGTGAATGGAAGAAGTATTTTTCGAATCTTTTTTCAAGACATCATTTAATAAGAAATAGTTTGGTAAAATACCTTATCAATAATTATTTTTTTAATGAGTGTCAAATCAATGTGTGACAAGTAAAAGTGAACGGAGGGAATATCATTTTAAGCCCACCTCTCTTATATACACCGTAATTCTAGAGATTTTACAATCCCTTTTCTTTTCCTATGAATCAAGTGTGCTTAATTCCACATCAATGGCCCTCTACTACTCATTACACTAAATTCAGGCTAATTAAATTCAGATCTACAAAATTTATTAATTTTAATCAAATAAATTCATAAAGCTCATTGAATCATTTTCTTCTGTCTATTAATTTTAATAAACAGGGATAGTTGTATTGCAAACTTAATAAGTGTTTGTGATGCACAAGTAGTTACTCGCACAATTCCCTAAAAAACCTAGTTTCAACTTTTAAGAAACTCAAAGTAATAAAATTAGAAAAGAAGGGGGAAAAGGTAACTTATAGGATAAAATTTATGATTATTAGTTCGATTCAATCCATTTTAAATGGGTTAATTATTCAAGGAAAAATTAATTAATTACGCATCATTTATTATCATATTTTCTTATTTTCGTTGTCATTTTAGAAAATATCAAAAATCCCTTTTTTTGCTCCTATCATTCCTTTTTCCGGATACATTAATTTGAAACCTTCTACTCATGATTTTCCTTCCTTTTTTCACTCCACAAATCTTTTCACAGTTACTTTCATTAATCTATTTTTAAATTTCAAATCTTTTCTCTTTTTTTATATCAAAATATTTGAATTAAGTGAGCGTTTGATAATAGATTTTATATCAGATTTTAAAAATCTATCCTAAAAAGAAAAAGTTCCAATTTCACTTATAAAATTTTAAATTTTTTCCAAGTAGAAATGCATGTCCAAATAAAATTTCAAGTTTTAAAAATCACAATTTTAAAAACTCAATTTTTTAAGTTTCAAATTTCAAAATCTACGACAAATCAAAGCTCAATATCCATGGATACGTTTTAAACCTTGACTATAGCTCGTAAAGACTTGCTCAATTGCAAGATTTCCAAAGAGTGCATTTATGAGAAAATTAGAAATGGAAAGTGACCATTCAATTATTTTTTATTATTAGCCTTTAAGGTAGGAGAGTTACTCCTCCAACTGGGAATCCTCCAAAATTCCTTATAAATTCTAACTTTCAAAAATAATGTTTATCCCTTCCTTATTTCACTCCACAAATCACTTTCTATTTTTAGTCACACAATCTTAGCAATTATTTTCTCATTCACGTTTAATATTTAAAATCAATTTCTTAACTGTCAAAACTATTTCAACTTCAATTTAGGTACCTTTTTCATTGTCTCTAACTCTATGTTCATCTTTTGATTTTTCGTTTTTTTTGTTCTTGAAAACGCTGATACATAATTTAATCTTAGATCTTAAATTAATCTTTATTAGTATTATTACTGATTCGATATATCACTGTTACAATTCTTTTTTATTCTATGCATATGATACTTAATTTCAATGTATCTAGTTTATTTTGATAAGGCACTGTGTATCAAATTAAGTATCTTAATACATAAATACGTAAAAATTGATAATCTTATTGTATCAAATACATTATTATCAACTACAAAATGATACATTTATAAATACACTTTATTTTAGCTTACATACACCTTTTACAACCTTATTGTATCAGATACATTAATATCAACTATAAAATAATACATTATATAAAAAATGTATCTTATCAACTTGAAATCTTCCACAATTGCATATTTATCTTTCAAGGCAAACAATGTATCTTTTTCCAGAATCATAAACTGAATAAAGATACTCAGATGATGCAACAACCTGTTAACATTAAAGAAATTAGTGATACATTCCATAAAACAGTTATTTCTATGAATCAATCACAAACAAACAAACAACTAACTTATACTTAATATCATGTACAAAATATAACTATAATCTGATGCATACCCTCATTCTTGAACATTTTGATGCTTTTACAACAAATTACATGTACAACGTATCATTTATAAAGTAGTATTTCACAAACACAACAAGATACCAAAATAGTAATGTATCATGCTAAATATTTGGTCATGATACAATAATTTAAATTAATACTACATGTATCACACAATAATTTGTTGATCTCTAAGCAAACACTTTAAATGCAAAATTGCTTATTTAATGTATCTAATTAATAGGAGTATAGTACTTATCAATTTATACAAGATACATAAATACTAATGTATCACAATTGTATAGTCATCTTGAAAACACCAACAAAAAATCAAATTAACAACACAATATATGTAATTTCATACCTCCGATTGTCAGATCTATTTTACTATGAAATTAAAACTCTTATCTATTTTATACATTGCAAATGGAGGCTCATATTTTTTCCATATTCTTGAATGTCAGATCTTTTTTCTCTTCAGATTCTTCATTGTCTCAGGAAAATCAAAATATTTATGATGTATCTTCTCAATATTTTTTTTTGATAATTTTGAATCAAAATTTAAAGGATCTTCAACGAATTGGGAGAAGAAATTTGAAATCCATCACTTATGTATCGTTCATAACTCACCTTATTTTTCCAGATTTTTGAATGTATTTATCACGTATCATCTATTGTTTTCGACTTTTTTAATCTATTACAATTTAGGTAAGAATTGAAAGAAGAAAATTTGAGTTGTTTGAAGCTAGACGATTTGGAATGGAATTGAGCGAAGAAATTTGAATTTTGAATTGAAGGTGGGTCATGGGTGAATTTTAAAGAGAACTAAAAGAAGAAAATTTAAATTTTGATTTGATTAAATCTTTTTCAAGATTTGGAAGAAATTGAAATCAACTAGATTACGTAATTTGGGGAACTCACAATCAATTTTATATTCTCTTTCCTTTAAAAGTGTAACTAAATTTGTTTTAATGTATCAAATTTAGTGTATCTATCTTGTTTGCTATGTATACAGATAGCATTGATTTTGAGGAACTTTTGTAAATTGAAAAAGAATAAAGATAGAATGTAATTTATGTAAGTTATACATTTTTTCTCCTTAAACCTCACCACCCAAAATAGGTCTAGACCTGAGCTGAGATCCGACCATGACTCGAACTCAAATTTTGATCTCTCAATCTTGACTCAGAACCATTCATTTTCCAGCAAATAGGAAAACATGAAATTACATACCAAACACACTTTAACAGGATAAAAAGGACAAATTACTTAACTATACTCTTTTACTTACCTTAATATCCATTTATTCCTACTTATTTCAAAAATTTCAAAAATCCCAAATTTACCTATGTATCCCGCATGTATCCCGTGCACAACACTATGTATCCCGCATGTATCCCGTGCACAACACTATGTATCCCGCATGTATCCCATGCGCAACGCTATGCCTCCCGCATGTATCCCATGCACAACTCTATGTATCTCGTTATGTGGAATATATCCCGTGCACAACGCTATGTATCCCACTATGTGGAATGTATCAAACCTAATGTATTCCGTGCACAACGCTATGTATCCCGCAAACATCATTTTTAAGGAATTTTTGATAAATAGAAAACTATAAGGGATAGGATGTTATTTAGTACTTATAATATGTGGTTCCTATAATTTATACTAAAAAGAATAAGAAAAATAATCTTAGTAATCTGACCACTTATTTCTTTACCTAATAAATAAAAAGCAACAAATAATA